GGAAAATGTTTACCACAGACCTGAGCCCTTACGAGATCAAGGGTCAGATCGATGGGCACCGGTGTCTCGAGTTTTGTGTTCAGCAGCGCCTGTGTGTGGCCACCGGTATGGTGTACGACACGGTCGAAAGCTCCATGTTTTGCTACTTTTTTAAACGGTCGGACCTCATGGACGCCAATCTCACGGAATACGAAAATGTGGACCTATTTGTCAAAGTGATGGACGAGTCCGAGATCCCTGGCCACCACAGTGTGCCACAGAATAACAAGTAGGCCTATTACTAACTGTTTAAAATAATTATTTAACCTAGCTACAAAATTTAAGTGTTTAACTGAACGTTTACATCCATACCTATAGGACTGGTAGTGCCACTGAATGCAGTGATGGTAAGCCCCTGGACTCGGAGGCCAAGGATGATGAAGAAGATATCAAAGAGTTTTCCGGTTATAAGTCCGCCTCGAAGTCCAGGTCGGACTCAGATGGTGGTGCCGCTGAGCGCCGGTATTCAGCCAACGATTATCCGCTGTCACCGCACGGATACAACTATTATGGCGGCCCTCAGGATGAAGAGGACATCGATGACAGCGAATCGGATACACAGCCGAAGAAGTCGTACAGAAAACAGGGCTTAAGGACTGTCCGATCGACTGATTATAAGAGACAACGACTTCAAGAATCGGATGATACGGAACAGGAGGTGAAGCCCACGGGAAATGCCGTTCCGTTCATCGAAACGGTTAAACAAAACGCCCGAAAGGAGTCAATACTGGCGCACATCCCGAGCATCGCCGCGGAACTCCTAAAACGTGTCAAACAGGCTAAAGAGAGCGCCGACCTGTCGGACAGGGATGTGGTATCGGGCCGAGGAGGTAGTGGTGGGCAGAGGCGGCCTAAACCAAAGGCACCGGTAGCTGATCCGGACTGCGAGAACGAGTTCGATGTGACCATTGGCTGCAAATCCGGCGACAAAGATGTGTCCAAAATGTGTACAAATGTACCGAAAATTATTTATTCCGACGGAAAGGCTATGTCTGCGTGTAATGAGACACTAGTGGGCGGGGAGTGTCCGGTGGTATGTCGGACCGGCTATGAGCCAACTGTGCGGCGCCTGAAGTGTCAACAGTCGGGCGATCGGAATGTCTGGCAAAACGCGAAACTAATTAAATGCAAACCAATAGAGAGTGAGTGCGAGCCGATCAGCGCCGGTAGCGTCGATAATAAGACGTTGATCCGTATTAAAGCCCAAACCCAATACCCGTCCCAAAGGGTACACTACGTGAGTGCTTACAATACGACCCGAAAGTTGCCCCTATTTTCGGCGTACGTACACATGAGCGCCAATAACGCTAATACTACCGATACCTCGACAACCAATGGTACCGACACTGAGTACGTAAAGAACTCGTGCGACCAATTGGGTGACAATCAGTGGTCAGACGTTGACTACAATAACAGTGATTACAATCTGAGACCACTTTTGCCGGTAAAGGCGTTCCGGTATTCGCCGGAAGCTCAGAGTCTCGTGAATACCATGTCTAACGTCGCCCCGCAGGACCCGTTCACATCCCGGGGCCCGTGGATGACCATCGAGAATAGGACGCTAGAGATGCTTCAGAATAGGCCCGGTATTGTCATATCAGGTGTCTGTCCCGATAGTATACCGCAAACAGATCTGAAGCCTAAGAATATACGGAACCGGAAGCCGACGCCAACCCCTGAAATACCGAAGTGTTTTTGGACAGTCGTATGCGTGCCGTCCGGCGATGACGACGTAACTGCCGGTGCTTTCTATGCGGAAAACACACACCCGGTGTCCCAACTGGAGAAGCAGTCGCGGGTCGACCAGATTCGCCAGTATAGAGACCAGTCATTTATCGCCAAACTCTTGGGTACCGACGCCTACCGGCGCGTATGGCTCGAGACGTATCAGGCGTTCAAAGACCTCAACAAAGGCGTCAAATCGTTTATCTACCGGTGCGCTGAGCAGCATAGGAATACCCCCGAGGGTCAGTCGTTTTGGACAGACGTGATCAATGGACAGGCGGGTCGGGAATGGGAGACAAAGTTTGCGTACGGTTTGGAGAAAAGCGATTCGCAGCTCAAGAATCGGGTAGCGACTGGCGATCAGCGCCGGCTGTCCGGCACCAGACGCACGGTTCGAGAGGGGCAGGCGTTCGACGAGGAAAGTATGTCGTGAGCTAACTGACCACTTACAGTGAACTCTCCGTATAGTGTACGGGGTATTAACCGTTATTATTAGCGAGAGTTGACTGTATTTTAATAGTAGTTTTTATAGACCTTTTTTGGTGTGAATCTGAATTTTTGTAAATAATTTTGATTATGCTTGTTAACTATTATAATTTTTGTTACACTTGTTATTGTTTTGCGAGATTTTAATTTAATAAATAAAAGTACAAATTATATAACAAATAAATGAATATTTCTAGTTGCATGCTCATTTATATATTTTACATTAAAAATAAAAGTTTACTATAATGAAACTGATTAAGTATGTTGTATATCATATTTACTATTAATTAAATTCACACCAAATAAGGTATATAAAATAGCAAGTATAGTTTATAATACTAAGCATTATAGTTTATAATGCTAAATTAATCAGTTAATTCTCGTAAGTACTAGTATTAAGACTAGACCTTGTTCATTTTAATTTGTATATCAATTCAAACCATAAATTTCAGACCAAAACGCTGTCAACTCTATCGGAGACTTCAAAAAATGCAAAACCAGTGAACGACGGAAACTCATCGCATATCTGACACCAAACGGGCCCAAGAAGTTGACCATAAATGAGGCCAAAGACATAACGCACGCCATATTCGCCGCCATCGACACCGACCCCACGGGAAGCCTATCGCTGTTCAACGGCACGGATCGCGGGAACGGCACTCAATTCACGCGACTCTACGAAATGCTGACCATTAAGACCAGTCTCGAGACGATCAGCGGTCAGGACCTCAAGATTATGGCCGCAATCGGCGGTCAGAATATGTCTCAACAATTCTCGGCGATTATCTCATCGCCGGTCAAACGCCAGACACTGATCGCTAGTGTCGTACGAATGGTCGACTATTTCGGGTTAGACGGCGTGGAGTTCGACGGCTGGCAACGCCCTGTTATGGACGCCCAGACCAATGGCGGGCATATCCCGAGCCCTGAAGATCGCAAGAATTTTGTCGAATTCTTGCGTGAAATTCGCTGGACTTTCGACAAATTTCGGGTGGAAAAGGGTCGCAAAGATCGGCTACTGGTGTCCATAACCGCCGGCGCCGGGCATTGGGTCGTAGGTCCAGACGCGACCTACGATTGGGCTAATGTCGAACCCCTTGTCGACTGGATTAACGTATTAACTGTCGACTACTTCGGCCCCTGGAGGACCCAATGGGGCTCTAATACCGGTCCCATTGCGCCCCTATATCCGTCTGCGCCCATTAAGTCCCTATCGGAACAGAGTATTCACTCGACTCTCGAAAAATACTATTGCCTACTAAACTCCAGTTCCCATAAACTCGTGATGACTGTCCCATTTTATAGCCGATATTGGCATAGCGTTGGGGACGCTATCAATATAACCGATCACCACTTCCGGGACAGTCTACCCGCGGGTGGGTTCGTAGCCTACGATACACTAAAACGGGAATGGCTTCCAAACAGGGATTTCGAGCACCGGTGGCACAACCAGTCAAACACGCCGTACCTCTGGTCTCCCCGGCAACGAGTGTTACTGTCGTACGAAAACCGGGAGTCCGTGGCCCGGAAGGCGCGCTATGCCGTCGAACGCCGATTGGGAGGGCTGTCGATGTGGGCCCTGGACTTCGACGACACCAATCATGACTTGTTTCAGGCGATTGTCGACAACTATAAGACGTGCGCCGACGATAGCCAACCAGAAACGGTGGGTGCCGTCGACTACCGGTGCCCTAAACCTGCGAGGCGGTGGTGGCCCCCGGAAAGGGGTATCAACGCTGGCCTATGCGGACGGTCAGCGCCACTGATCGACGGCTATTACCCGGTATGCGATCCCAGCAGCGAATCCATGGGCTGTTGCGGGCCGTGGGGTCGGTGCGGATCGGGACCCGAGTTCTGCGACTGTGCCGGTTGTGTAGACTACAGGCGCCACCCGGAGCTCATCGATAAAGAGCCCGTACGGCCTACCCGTGCGATCCGGTGGCTGACCCACGATATGTTGCCGGGCGGGGAGGAGAGCGAGGGAATGGCTGTTTGCGGACCGGGAGCTCAGGCGAAGGTTAACGGTAGTCATCCCGCGTGTAATCCGGACGACGATAACGGCTACTGTTGCTCGCGGGACGGTATGTGCGGTACGGGCGGGGAGTTTTGCGACTGTCCCGAGTGCGTGAATTTTAGGGCTAACCCCGACTTTGCCTACCCGTCCGCTACTAAGAGGTTATGGTGGACTGAATCGGATGGCGCAAATAGGGCCGGTAGGTGTGGTAGGTTTGCGCCGAAGGTTGATGGGGAACACCCTATTTGCGATCCCGAGTCGGGTACGGCTTATTGCTGTAATAAGTGGGGTATGTGTGGGTCGGGGCCACTGAACTGCCAGTGCGTCGGATGCGTGGACTTCAAGCGTAGGCCTACTTTCCGGTGGAAATAGTTTTATGTCTTAATTTATTATCATTTATTTTTATATGGTATTTACTTATCAAGGGTAGTTATTATTTTATGTTACAATTATAATAGAAATAGGGTATTTTAAATAGTAATGTTACAATAAAATTATATCAATCTTAATACAATGGTTTAAAATAAAATATTAAATAAATTAAAGTTAGAAATGCTATAATATTTAAAAATAAAATTATATTTTTTATGTACAATTAAATGGACTCAATTATCTGAAAAATATTGTTTAAATTTATATTAATGATTTTAGTTTTATATTCTAAACAATAAACATAATCATTAGTATACTGTAAATTACAATTAGTAACATAATTTAAAACAACTTATTATTGTAATATAATAATGTTCATAATGAACTTTCAAATACAAATATAACATTGAAATTACTTTGAATAATAAAGAATCATTAAGAATAATATTCAATGAAAATGAGATCAAAAAATAATAATTAATTGTTTCTACAATAATAGCCTGTAATTATAGTTAACAATAATTTGTAATAATCTGCTAATTATGATGTTATTGAATAATTTTAGTTTATTTAAATAGATATTCATAGTTTACATTACATTCCTACAGTACTAACAGGTCTACATACTGTATAAGTGTAGCATTCAATATGAATTCTATTAATATGAATAGAATTATACCTGTTGAATTAATAACAAAATCAGCCAGCAATCAATTGTATAGAATTGGCTTATTGTACACTTGTACTCAATATGAGCAAGGTGTAACGAGATCACAGATTTATCATCCAAAACTTATTAACTCTATTTTGGGGATATATTTAACACAATTAACAATCGTGTCATTCATACCAAGCGAGTATCGCATTAT